GCATTTGGGCTGCTTCCATGTTTTTCCAATTGTAAATAAAGCAGCAATAAACATGGGGGTACAAGTATCTTTTTCAATCAGTGTTTCTGTGTCTTTTGGATAGATACCTAGGAGTGGGATAGATTGCCAGCATTTTTTGACCGGTGCTCACGTCACTGTATTAACCTCAAAGCAATCTTGATGGCACATGGGGGGGGGATTCACCCCACTGTACAAAATGGAAAAATGGGGCTTCAAGGGGTGCCAGTGGTTTTCAATTTACGCAGCTGCTGAGTCGCAGAACTAGCCCAGGGCTCTGAGCTGGGAACACAGCGGCCCTCACTGCTGCCTTTGATGTGGGCTGAAAAGGACTCTGGACATCCCCTGGTCCTTTTGAAGTTCTTTCTGGGTTTGATGTTTTGGAAACTGAAAAGGTAACTGTTGCATAGAAGAGAACCTGTAGTCCATTTTTGGAAAAAGTTAATTCCTCTGCCAGTCTGCAGCGGATGTGTTACCCTCCGTGTGCAGATTCTGTAGTCAGGTTTCAATGCCTGGATTCAGTTCGCTCCCTTGCTTGAGATGGCACCTGGCCCCACCCCGCGCCAGCCTGGTGCACCAGTGTGGTGCCCCGTCTCTACAGCCTCATGGATTTGCCTTGAATAGTGCTGAGATCTGAGTTGCTAACTATAGACAAATGAAAAGTCAGGCCTTGTTTTAAAATTTAGTAAGATGATTTGTGAAAGAGGTCATTTCTGAGAGAGATGGAATTCAGTATGTGAGACAAGAATAAGCCAGGTGGTATTCATTGTGATTTCTAGGGTGTGAAGGGAATACCTGGGATGATTGGACCCCCAGGATCTCCAGGACCCAAGGTATCTTATTTAAATACTTCTGTTTAAAACTGTGCAGATGTGGTATCTTAATGTTTTAAGTTTTTGCATGATTGCGTGGTTATCACTATTCAAATGCTAATATATGCTACTAGAGCTTTCCATTATTTTATCAAAATCCTGTAGGGTGTCTATTCCAAAGTAGTTCTCTTTAAGCTGCTGGCAAGAACTTTTCTCATTGAGTTTTCACTAAAATATTGCTGCTTGGACCCTCTAAATGATGCCATCTCTTAAAGGGAGAACCTGGTATTTGTGCAAAAGGAGAAAAAGGAATTCCTGGGTTCCCAGGACCTCCGGTAAGCATCACTCACGCCCTCTTCCACGTCATAGAGCCTGCAGGCAACTCTCTCACATTTCTGTAAGACTACGTCAGTATTTTCAAGAAACGGAAGCAGAGACTGTTTCCACAGACACAGTATTTCAGGACCACAGGGACTGTGGGATAACTATGTATCCCGGCACAGCCCCTAGTGGACATGATTTACATAAAACACAAGCAGAAGTTAGCTGAACTGACTGGAAGTAACAAAAAGACGTCATTTCCGCCTGGCGCAGTGCCAGAGTGATAGTAACTTGGGATGGTTACCTCCAGCCTCGTTGACTAAGGAGGTTCTGCTCTAACAGCTGCAGCTGAGGAGAAATCCCAGGGTCAGGCCCCAGACATCACCACACATGTGGCTTCTGGATTCCCCATTGACAGAGTTGCTAAAGGGTCTAGATCCCAGTGGGCCCAGACTAAGTTCATTTGACTATAGGTCTACTTCATGGGACAAGACTGGCTTTCATGCTAATTTTTATCACTGATACAGAGAAACCATTAATCTCCAGATAAATTATATTAGTGATATCAAGGATAAAGCTCAGTGCAAGCATTCAGTTAAATGAATTAAAATGAAACAGCATCAACAATAGCAGAAATATATTCTGAATTTAAAACTCTGGCAAGGACATGATTTTTTTAAATGAGACCAAAGATCAATAAAATAGCAAACGTTATGAAGAAGTGGAATCTATTTCATATTATTTCTTTTTATTCAACTACTCTTGCTGACAAGATTAAATAGCCACAGCGCAATATCATAAGGTGAAAACTGATGCATTGAGCTGGTTCTGCATTGTGATGAAATTGTTTGTGTTGATTTTGTGAATTTATTAGGGCTACTCTGGTTACCATGGATCTCCAGGTTTTCCAGGACAAAAGGTAGGTGTAAACCATTATAAAGATAATACATTTCTTTTCATTGGGAAATGCAATTTGGCATCATTGAAAAGTGGTTTTATTGCATGCAGACTTGCAATTGGTAATTGGAAAGGGAGATTTAGCTGTGTCTGCAAAAGTTAAAACATAAAAACTATCTGGTGCAATCCCCAAGGTTTGTCGCCATTTAATGCAGAATCTCAACAGGCATGTGTCAAACAAATGAAGCCAGATGATATCATTTGTCACCCAATCGCGTTTTCCAAACAGGCACATGTGTGGTCATTTGTAGGGACAACCAGGATTGGTAGGAGACCGTGGTCCTTACGGATTTCCTGGCTTAAAGGTAAGACCGTGAACCAATGGGAGTCCAACTTGATAAAAGTCTGTGTCCCTTTTGTTATCCATTTTTTTTTAATTTCAAAGAGTCATTCATAAATGTAACTTTTGAAAGGGTCAGAATTCATTTAGATATGTTCTTTTAATGAGTGTCGTGATGTTTACATTTGAAAGGGAGTGATAAAGGCTCAGATGTCCCACATGATTCTGGACAGGGCACACTGGGTTCTCTGCTTTCACCAGCTCTGTGGCTTCTGTCCTCTGTGACCCCTGTGACCTCCCATTAGGCACTTGCCCATGGCCAGTCACAGTGGCCTTAACTCAATTACGTGTCCGTAATTGATTTCAGGCCAATCAACAAATAAACAATTTGTCCACAAGCACCAAGTTAGACATGAATGCTCATGGAATATCCACAAGACTCCTGGTTCAGAAGGCTCTAATTTGTGGACATGGAGTAAATATGTGTAGTTTCTCTTTCATGAGAACTTTGCCTTTTAGTTCATCCTTCTGCTTATAGGTGGGGAATCAGATGCCTTTGTTCCTTCTAGAACTCCTAAAACCATGCATTTCTCTAGTCAGCCTGTAATCTATTACTTTATGACTGCCCTTGTGCCCCCTCTATTATTTAATTAATGTCAGGCAACTGGAGAAAAATAATATTTCTAAGAAAAGTGGATGAATGGTTTCAGGGGGATCCTGGCGATCGCGGGTACCCAGGACCACCAGGTGTCTTGGCAACTCCATGTTTTCCACAAAAAGGTTTGTATTTTCTTCAGATCTTCCATAAATTATGGGGTGATGGGATAAGAGTGGCTCTCACAGAAGAGAATGGCCCGGTAGTTCCCCGCTGTCTGCACACTAACCAGGCTAAGTGCAGAAACGTTATACCCTCTAGAGACTGTGGACATAGAATTGACATAGAATTATGCAGGAGCAGTTGGGGATGCGCCTGCTGATTGTGTGAACTTCATCAATAAGTGCGCCATCGGCAAGGGCGGCAGAGACGTCCATCTGGCCGGCGTCTGTCCCCCTAACTCCTCATTCTTTATTTTAGTGGGGTTTGTGTCATGTCACCTTTCAGAAAGTTTTATTTAAATCATTAAGGCCAGGGCACACCAGGACCCCACCTCCCAGAATGACAATGACCAACAGCCACTCATAGACCATGGATCTGTAGAGAAGAGGCAGCCAAGTTCATGTCCAAATCCACATGCATTTTCCAATGTGTTGAGAAACTCAGACCAGTCTTAGTTGTACTCACACAAAAGGTAACTGCACGATTTTTGAAGTAGATATACATTTGTTTTATTCACACGTGCTGTTATTTTCGACAGGTCCTCCAGGGGACCCGGGACCCCCTGGCTGCGATGGAGACATGGGAGATGTTGGGCCTCCAGGTCCCCCTGGTTGCCCGGGGAGAAAAGGGGAAGACAATGAAGGTAGGAATCCAGGGCCGCTGTACCTCAGCTTTCCTACATCCTCACCCACACCAGCAGTGTGCGACTCTTACTGGTACTGAAATCTCCTGAACTGTGTTTCCAAGGTCGCATAGCTGTGTCTGCCCCAGACCAAAGATGGTCACCCGCTGGGGTGCTGTTATAAAACAGTGTGCAGGGCTAAGCACCTCCGACCTCAAAACAACTAGCCACAGACTTGGAGGAAATCCAGGTCACACACAGCCCCTTCGACATGGTGGATGTCCACCACGAGATTGTTGTGGGCGGGTAAGGTCTGGGGATGCAGCTCAGGTTAGAGTGTTTCTTCCATTTCTCCATCCTCATGGAAGGCTCTCACAGAGACATTTATTTGTTAAAACTCTTGTTCGTCCATTTGGGCCCTGATTAAAATCTTTCATGAAATGTGGAAATACATTTTTTGAATTAAAAATTAAAAGTTGATTCAGTCTTAGTTTTTTTATTTTTTTATTTTAAAGCAGCAAAAGGGCAGTGGGTTAAAACACCACATTATGAAGCTCTCTGAAGCCACTGTAGCACAAGTTCGATCCCAGGCCAGGGAGCCGACCCACATGGCACGGCAGACCTCTCCTGACCCACTCGCTGCTCCCCTCAGCAGTGTACTTTTTTGATCTGCCTGTTCTGCTCCCCACTCTGTCTCTGGTGAATCCTCTCACCCACCACACCTCTGGCCTCTACCCCAGTCCTGTATGCATAAATAAATAACTATTTTTTTAAAGGAGCATAAACAGTGATCCTTCCCCTCTACTCTCCCCCAGCAAAAAGGACAATAGTTCTTGTCCCCCAAAAAACTACAAACCCTATAGCTAGTGGCATTCTTCATGAAGAACCTAAGAAAAAAATCAGACTAACAAAAGATCTTTGCACTCCTTCCTGTGCTGGCTAACATTTCTAGTAAGGTTAGAAATAGAAGTTTAGAGGATATTTGCATTCTGTGAACCCAGGGGAACTTATTAAGCTTGTGAGGAGGAGAGTCTTGAATAAATATAATTCTATACAGTCTGTGCCTCTTGTTCTATTCACAGAGAAGGAGCTAGAAGTTTCCTGAGATATTCAACCATTAACTAAAAAGTTCCTGCTTACTCTTTCTGAACTTTACTTTCCACTTTGTAAGATCTGATGACCACAGGACAGTAAAGCTTTCTCTAGCTCATTTAACCTTGAGCCATCATGACCTTGGCTCAATGACCAGGACTATGCAAATCACATAATTCAGTGATCTTCAGATTCTAGTCTGAAATACCTCCTTTTGGGTTTGTATAAAATGAAATAGCATCTCTAAGTAATCAAAATCCAATAGGAATAAAGCACATGTCTTGGAGATTCATAACCAAATATAATGGGAAACCTCTAAAGTTTTTTTCAAAAATTTGTCCAGTAACTATAATCCATAGTATGTTGGATTGCATTTACATTACATCACGTACATATGTATCCATGTGTGCATTTGGCTGAAACATAAATTTCACAAATAATACCTTTTTGGAGTGTAACAGACTCTCTTCCTCTATTTCCATTTCATTCTCTTTTAAAAAGCTTTTTTAATGCTGGCCACAGCTTAATTGACTTCAAGCTCTACAAGTGGGTGGTGGAGGCTGCTGAGTGTTCTGCCCTTTGGGAGATGACTGAGCATCTCCCCAAAGAGGGAAAGCCCACAGGTGGTGCCTGGGACCAGCCAGTGACGGACAGAAGGGAGTTCAGTCAGGTCTCAAGAATGGCACGAAAAAGAGGCAGCCATGTCCTCACAAGCAGAGCATAGTTTCATTTTGTTTGAAGCATACCTAAGTAGATAGCCTTTATTAATCATCTTTTTAGAATTGTCTACAGTCTTTGCCATGAGATTAGCAGAGTTGTGGATCAGACATGCGTGATGAAATCCCAGTCTTTCCACTGAATGCAAAGCAGTGCATTTATACTGTGGATTAAACACATTCTAGGTGCTACTGTTTGCAACCTAGGTGAGACTGAGCATTTACTAAACCTCTCTGTGCCCCAGTTTTCTGCAAGATGGAGTTCTTATGGCTGAAACAAATCATAGTATATAATTCATAGGAAACACCCTGTCATATATTAAAGATTTATAAAGCTGGCTGCTGTTGCTATTATTATTGTTTGGTCTAAACTTTCTATGCTTTGTCCTTAATAAGACTTAGACTTTGCAGGTGTTTCAGAAGTAAAGATAATGTTTGAAAATACATGTAAAGCCTCAGCACATATACACATACTCAGCACATAATGAAAGCCACAATTTAACCAGCATGCTGCATTATTGATATTGATAAGTTTTGGTTGTCTGTTGATGAAAAATGTACCCAAAACCCAGTGACTAAAACAATAACAGTCAGTGCATGACCCTTCGCTTCCTGTAGTTCAAGAGTCCGGAAAGGACTAAGCTGAGCAATTCCAGATAGAGGATTTTCATATGGTGGTCTCCATAGAGTGGCTGGAACCAGAACACAAGGGCATACCTCTTCTATCTCTAGTGGAGTCTCTGGACTCTCTGGGTGGTCCCTTACTTTAGGCATCTTAGCATGGTAGCTTCAGAGCAGTGACACTGTTTCCATGGTGACCATGTGCACTAGTCCCAAGCAATTCAGCTCACAAGGCAGAAGCTGAATCACGTCGAATAACCCAGTCTCAGATGCTACAGCATCCCTCCTGCCATGCTCCATTTTTTCAAGTGGTTGCAAAAATCCATCCCATTCAAACTGAAACGTACCACCTCTTGCTAGGGAAGTGCCAAGGTTCCCATAGAATGTGAGGGATAAGAACTACCATGGCGGCCATCTTTGATTCTGGAACTGGGAAGAACTCAAGAGATGTGATCAGGCTCACAAGAAGGTTTCTGGTGGTGTCAAAGCCAAAACACCAGAGAGGGAGAGTAGGAAGTACAGCTGGATGGGACATTGTTGCTGGCCATGTTCCTCTCTCGATCCCTGACCACACTGAATATCTAATCATCCACTGAGCACATGCTATTGCAGATATTACAAGAAGCTCCTTACATGGATTACTTTACTTAACCCTCATAACAAACATCTGAAGTAGATATAGAGGATTATAGGATTTAAATTACCTACTTAAGTTCCCATGGCTAAGAGGGGGAGGCCAAGTTCAAATCCAGTGCCTCCTTATTTTACCACCAACGTAGGTTGCTGTGGTGTTTTATGTCCAAGAGGTAGTATTGATGCCATACTTTTGTTTATAAATATGTTTATTTAGATTATTGTACCAAGTTGCCAAGGTGGAAAACTTGAAAAAAGTTTAATTAAAATTTAATTTCTTCTTGTGGCAAACTTAAAGAATGGGGAAGAGGTAAGAAGATGTGATTCTCTGAGCCTATTTATCTCACTGGTGTGCATTTTAAAGCAAGTGGGGCTTTTTGGTAGTCAAGTTAGTCAGTGACTATTTTAAACTATATTTTTTCCTTCAAAAAATTCCACAATTTGTATTGGAAATGAACACCATTGTTGAAAGCCTCCAGGGTAAATTGGTTTGAGGTAGAGCTCCGTTAAAATACAAACTTTAACTTTGTGGTCCTTTAATCTGTCTAAACCACAGTTTTCTGAACCATTATTTGAGGGTAAAAATATATACTTTGAAAGGTCAGTCTGAGAATTAAAGGTAAGCCCACTCAGTGCTTGGTAAATACACAATAAACATCATTTGTTATAACATTATCTCATGAATGGGTGTAAGTAGTAAAAAAAAAAAAAAAGAATTCTATAGCCTAAGAGTTTGATGATTTTTGAAAAATCAAAAATCAGATTTTTGAAAAATCTGAAGAAAAGTTCGCTCTGACAGTTTATGTGGTTTTCATTCTTGATTTCTCTTGGAGGCTGGATCGGTCCCCCTGGGCCACCAGGCCCTCCAGGTCATCCAGGAATTCCAGGGGAGCCCGGAGTTCCCGGGAGACCTGATACTCCAGGAAAACCAGGGGCCCCAGGATCCCCGGGGTTACCTGGACCCCCAGGACTACCCGGACCACCAGGATCGCCTGGTAAAGTGTCCCCTGTTTGTGTCCATCAGTGTTTATGTTGCGTTTGGTGTGTGTGATGCCCTTCAGAATGTGACTTTCTCAGTTTTTTAGAAACCACCGAATATTTCTTAAGCCAAGTTAACACTTGGCTGCTGAAGGACATAGATGTTCACCATCTATCAGTTAAGCATACGAAAATATTTGGCTGAGGATTTAAGTGTGATGATGGAATGTTGTTCATGTTGAACACAATTTTAAT